GCCTAAGAGGCTAATTAATTAAGGTGGGCTATTATCAGCAGGAGAAAAAAACTTTTGTAGTGATAATCAAGATGGCCCATTTCAGACAGTTGACAAAAAGGTGTAAGGATACTTAACATGGAGAAATAGATTCAATTTGTGTAATGACCCAGCCACTCCCAGTCTCTATTCAAGCCAAAGTTAATGGTATCTAGTTTGCATATTAATTCAAGTTCAGCAGTTTCTTATTGGAGTCTGTTTTTGAAGCTTTTCTGTTGCAAAATTGCCACCTTTAAGTCTGTTACTGAGTGACCAGAGAGGTTGAAGTGTTCTCCTACTGGTTTTTGAATGTTATGATTCCTGATGTCAGATTTGTGTCCATTTAGTTTTTTGCATAGAGACTGTCTGGCAGGAACGCATATAGGAGATATGGAAGTAGGAACACATCTGCGGTGTAGCCTGGGCTGTGATTCAGGAAGCAGCAGAATAGCTGACACTTCCTGTTGCTACGTGTGCTGAACAGGTTTATTTGGAGGAAGCCCCAGAGATGGAATATTGAGCTTCCAGCCGGAGGGACCACTTGTGGCCGTGAAAAGAGTGGCTGAGGCTGTCCGCCAGCTTGTTCTGTATCCCAGGGAGATGAGATGCTTACAGGTGTATCGAGTGCTCTACACAGAAGTCCCACAGCATGAGGGCTTCCTGGCACAGGGGAGAGGAGCGTACATCTCCCTGATATATGGATTCTGAAAGCCTGGCACGCCAGGCACACCGCTCTCAGTTCTCTGACATTGATATGCAGAGAGAGGTCTACCCAAGACCAGAGGCCTTGTGTCCTGAGATCTCCCAAATGTGCCCCCCATCCCAGATCTGACACATCTATCACTAATGAGAGGGATGGCTGGGGGCTGGTGAAGGGTACTCCTGCACAAACTACCTGTGGGTCGAGCCACCACAGGAGGGAGTTTAGTATTGGGCGAGGCAGGGTTACAGTGCTGTCCAAAGTGTCTCAAACTGGTCGATATACTGATGCTAGCCATGACTGGAGCAGGCGAAGCCTGAGTATGGCATGCTGTACTACGTAGGTACAAGGGCCATATGCCCCAGAAGTTTCAGGCAGTTCCTTGCTGTAGTGGTGGGGAACTGCCTGAGGCCCCATATGATGTCGCCCAGTGACCGAAATCTGGCTTCTGGGAGGTATGCCCTGGCTTGAGTCAAGTCTAGCACCGCCCCTATCCTCTATCCTCTGCACCGGGGACAGTGTCAATTTGGCCTCGTTTAGAAGGAGACCCAGTTTGACGAACGTCCTTCTTATGAAGCCGACTTTCTCTTCCATTTGAGATCTGGAGTGGCCTTTGATCAGCCAGTTGTCGAGGTACAGTAAGGCTGGTATGTGGGCCGAGGGCGGGGTATAAAGGCCCAGTGACTGGAGAGTGGCACAAGAGTCTTTGAGGGAATGCAAAAACTCATCCATTTTGTCACTGAACAACTTGTGGTTGTCGAAGGGGAAGTCCTCATGGGTGGTCTGGACCTGTTTTGGGAAGCTGCTAGACTGGAGCCAGGGAGTCCTGGAAAAGGATGACTCCGGATGCCAGCAAGTGGGATGCAGTATCGGCAGCATCAACCGTGGCCTGGAGAGCCACCTTGGCCACCAACTTACCCTCATCTAGGAGATGTTGGAAGTCCTGCTGTTTCTCTTGGGGGAGGAAGACCTGGAAGTCCACAAGGTTGGAGTATGAAAGGAAGTCATACTTGGCCAGGATGACCTAGTAGCTGGCAGTGTGGAATTGGAGGCCAGCGGAGGAGTAAACCTTGCGGCCCAGGAGGTCCAACTTCTTGGTAGCCTGATCAGGGGCTGTGGACTGCAGGTGGTGCTGGCAGGTGTGCTTGGTCACGGCTTGGACCACCAGCGAGTTGTGAGGCAGGTGGGTGAAAAGAAAGTCACTGCCCTTGGAGGGCATGAAGTATCGGTGTTCCGCCTGCTTTAGTGTAGAGGCATAGGAGGCTGGAGAGTGCCAAACAGTCTGGGCCAGTTGCAGGAGGGCATCATGGATAGAGAGGGCAGTACATGAGAGTCCACGGGATTGTAGGATGTCCAGGAATTAATCCTGTGGGTCCTGGACATCTTTGACAGGCAGATTGAGGGCCATGGCCATACGTCGAAGTAAGTCCTAGTACTGCACATGGTCAGCAGGGAGAGAGAGAGTGGGAGGAATGATGACATCGTCTGAAGACAAGGAGGTGCCTGTATAGACTGGAGGTAGCAAAGATACCACCAGTACCGTCGAAGTGGGGATGGCTGGAGGTTCCTTGAAGACAGAGGGAGGGGCTGTGTGTTACGGAGATGGTTGGTGCTGTGAGCGAGATGGCATCCCACGCTCATGGCACGGGTTCCAGACTGCCCAGTAGGGCCAGGCGTAGGGGTTGCCAGGCAACAGCGGCACCCGCAGGCAGTGGAACCATGGGTTGGCCAGCAGAGCATACACCAGAGGGTATGGTTGGCACCAAGGGTTCAGGCTTTAGGACCATGCAGGTGAAAAGGTGGGGTCTGGTAGGCAGGACCACTTGGAATTGGACGACAGGTCTGGTAGGGATAGAGCCATTGGGACTGTCAGTGCAGGAAAGGTGGGATGGTCCAGGAGCAACAGAGGCACACCTGTGGAAAGGCCTGGGGGAGAAGTGTGGAGCGAAGTGAGAGGCTGGAGCAGGAGCAGCTCGTCCGTGGGAGATGGTAGGCGGAGAGCAACTGGAGGCCTGGAGTGGGCAGGGGAGCCTGCACAGAACAGCATGAGCCCAGCTGTTGGTGCGAGAGGGGACAAATGTCCCGGTGTGCACAGCACCGAGCGGACAAGTCCGGATGGGCATGACAGAGTTGACAGAGGCAGGGGCGATGGTGGTGGGCCAGTCACCATGTCTGGTGGTGGTGCTGGTGGAGGGCGGTGCTTGAACTTGTGCTCAGAGCGAGACTTCTTCGGAGCAGGAACATCCGGGTCAGCATACAACTTCTCAGCCGACCTGGCACAGCTTGTGGCGGCAACACTGCATTTGGGGGCAGTCCCTGTCGGGAAGCCACTCTTGTGCCCACTCTTGTGCTTCTTATGTGCACGGTGGGCTTTTGGCAGGTGCACCGGTGCCATCAATGCCAGTCAGGAAGGGCGTGGGGAGGTGCTCACTGCCAGTGTTGAATGTCATTCCAGAGGATCAGTGAGTCCCGAAGCCAGGAGTGCATGTGCTTGCAGAGGCAGAGTTCTCTGGCCTCCCAGGTGCGCGGCGGGAATGATCGGCAGATGGAGCAGCAGACAGCGACGTGAGCCTCACCAAAGCAATAAAGACAACGTTGGTGCTCGTCACTCACAGAGAAGTAGCATGGGCACGAAGCACAGTGTTTTAATCCTACTGCCAGGCCATAGTCCCCGGGCAGGGGGGAGTCCCCAGAGGGGAGAAGTCCAACCGAAAACTAACTAACTGATGATGAACAAACGGACAACAAACAACTAAAACTAGAAGAAAACTATGTACAACAAACAGAAGCAGTTCTCTTAGCAAGCTAAGAGCACTGAGGAACTGGGGTTGCGACTCTGGCCACGTGGCAATAAGAGGGAACTGGAGTGATGTCGACTCGCACAGCCTCTTAAAGCCTCGGATGCGCCAAGCAGCGATGCACGATCCATGTGCAGGTCAATGGACACTACTATTAACAGTTCTTGCTGTTCCTGCCACATGCATGCTCACCCATGTTTAGAATCCACATAGGGACCATCACTTGAACAAGAATTAGAGTTTCCATTTGTTTAATGCTCATTTTTAAATGTGCTGTTCTTGTCACATATTTTGTATAAGGGTTCTCTTATTTCTCTTTGTGTTTGGTCTAATTTTACATTGTAAATTCTTCAGCCATTGGGCTACTTCTTTTACACATTTAGTGAGGTGCATAGCAGTTTTGGGTGAGACGTAAATAATTATTGTTATTTATTGTAGCCATATTAAATTTAATTTAAAGTTTTTTTGGAGGTTAGATAGTGGTTTACCATAGCATACAGTGTAATAATCTAGTAATTGAAAATCCTACCTAAGTACAATGTGGGAAGTTAGTATTACTCAAAAAAAAGACTGAAATTTCTCAGTTACTGATTTTTGAATATTTAAACTGGCATCTTCAATATCGCAGTAATAGGGCTTGGCATTTAATCTCCTTTTTTATTGTTTTAAGGAAATTAAAATCAAGCAAAAGTTGTATTGAGACACTGTGGGATTGTGTAGCTGTGTTTTGTACAACTTCATAGGATTTAATTTCATAGCCAGAGGGCCCCAGCTCAGCCCTACACCCCAAACTCATCATCTAATCATAGCAGTTTAGTTATCAACTCCACGCAGACAAGTCAAATATACATCTGCATTCAGGACTTCTGCAAGGCAGGGAAAGTGTCTTTATTTGTTTCTGTGAACCATTATTATTCATTATTCTACTGCAGTAAAACCTAGAGTTCCCAGTCAAGGATCAAAACTTCATTGTGTTGGGTGCTATAGTCATGAAATAAAAGGCAGTCCCTGGCCAAGGCGAAAACACAATAGGTGGACAAAATAAACAGTGTTTTTCATTAAAAACAGTAGTCAGACTTGCCCTCTAACTAGTCATTATCACCTGGCAGCTTTTTGTATACATCAAGGCAAAGGTGAGTCTTAAAGGGGGATTTGTATGGCAAAGCACCTACCATGCTCTTAGGTGCTCAAAATCGCAAATAAAATACTTTACCAATTTTTTAGTAAAGCTACATGGATCAGATCTGTTCAAAAATATTTGTTAAAACCTTTGTGAACTACAAACACTTCTCTCACATGACAATTTTTCTAAAAGATCTGCTCTAGGAATTATTTTGGGGACGTTCTATGGCCTGTGTTATACAGGAAGCCAAACTAGATGATCACAATGATCCCTTCTGTCCTTGGAATCTATGAATCTGAAAAATGCACAGCTCAAGCCCGTGCTCCACTGCCTCCTCTTCCCTCCCAGAACCCCTGCTCACCTTGAGATCCCTGCTCTGGGATCGGAGAAGGTCTTGAATGTATCCTTTGGGATCTTTGGAGAAACTCAGCATGAAATCACGTTGTATCTTTAGCTGGTTTATAGATTCGATTGTCTCATGAATCTGAAAAGTAGAAGAAATAATATGGACGTTCTTGTATTTACGTGTCCCCAAGCCACAGTGAGTCTGAGTTTATCCTCTTCAGCCCATCTGTAATTCATATGAAACACAGAACTGTCATTTTGACAAATTACAGTTATTAAGGATCCCAAGGCATCTTTCCCACGAATAAGCATGTTAACTCTGATATCTTGGCCATGTTCTGCTTTCCTGACTACTCGTACACTTCACCTAGATACAGAATTCTTCTTCACATCCTGCCCTAAACTGTTGGATAGTGTGAGGCATGCACTGTCAAAGAGCTAACTTATTTCACTGGAGGATGCAGTGATTCCTGTGTACACTGAGCGAGTTTGCTAAGTCTGTAAGATATTTTGGGATCTTTCTGGATGAAAGATGCTATATAAATATGTAATTAGAATTGTTTCTATTAAAACAAAGCAACAAATATAGGCACTGATGCAGGAAAACATTAAAGCACAAGGGGCCACAACAGTGGTACCCTTAACTCACCCAACAATATTGTTAATCTATCCAACCACACACTTAGCCCAGCAGAAGAGTCTGTCCTATCGCGGAGCTTCTCCTTCTGCCCCACCACCCCCACGAACATGATACAGTTCTGCGGTGACCTAGAATCCTACTTTTGCCATCTCCGACTCGAGGAATATTTCCAACACACCACTGAACAGCACACTAACCCACAGAAACCTTCCTACCAATGCTACAAAAAGAAGGATTCTGCGTGGACTCCTCCTGAAGGTTGAAACAACAGACTGGACTTCTACATAAAGTGCTTCCGCCAATGTGCATGGGCTGAAATTGTGGAAAAGCAGCATGACTTGCCCCATAACCTCAGCCGTGCAGAACACAACACCATCTACAGCCTCAGAAACAACTCTGACATTATAATCAAAAAGGCTGACAAAGGAGGTGCTGTCGTCGTCATGAATAGGTCGGAATATGAACGAGAGGCTGCTAGGCAACTCTCGGGCCATTACCTTCTGATTCCACTGAGAGGTACCAAAAGAAACTGCACCATCTGCTCAAGAAACTCCCTGAAGAAGCACAGGAACAAATCTACACCACCCCTAGAGTCCTGACCAGGGGTATTCTATCTGCTACCCAAGATCCATAAACCTGGGAATTCTGGATGCCCCATCATCTCAGGCATTGGCAACCTGACAGCAGGATTGTCTGGCTATGTGGACTCTCTCCTCAGGCCCTACGCAACCAGCACTCCCAGCTATCTTTGAGACACCACTGACTTCCTGAGGAAACTACAATCCATTGGTGATCCTCCAGAAAAAAACATGCTAGCCACTATGGATGTAGAAGCTCTCTACACCAACATTCCACACAAAGATGGACTACAAGCCGTCAGGAACGGTATCCCTGATAATGTTATACCAAACCTGGTAGCTGAACTTTGTGACTTTGTCCTCACCCACAACTATTTCAGATTTGGGGACAATTTATACCTTCAAGTCAGTGGCACTGCTATGGGTACCCGCATGGCCCCACAGTATGCCAACATTTTTATGTCTGTCTTAGAACAATGCTTCCTCAGCTCTCGTCCCCTAGCACCCCTCCTCTACTCGTGCTACGTTGATGACATCTTCATCATCTGGACCCATGGGAAGGAGGCCCTTGAGGAATTCCACCAGGATTTCAACAATTTCCACCCCACCCTCAACCTCAGCCTGGAGCAGTCCACACAAGAGAACCACTTCCTGGACATTACAGTGCTAATAAGTGATGGTCACATAAACACCATCCTATACTGGAAACCTACTGACCGCTATACTTACCTACATGCCTCCAGCTTTCAACCAGACCACATCACACGATCCATTGTCTACAGCCAAGCTCTAAGATACAAACACATTTGCTCCAATCCCTCAGACAGAGACAAACACCTACAGGATCTCTATCAAGCGTTCTTAAAACTACAATACCCACCTGGTGAAGTGAAGAAACAGTTTGACAGAGCCAGAAGAGTACCCAGAAGTCACCTACTACAGGACAGGCCAACAAAGAAAGTAACAGAACGCCACTAGCCATCACCTACAGCCCCCAACTAAAACCTCTCGAGCGCATCATCAAGGACCTACAACCTATCCTGAGGGAGGATCCCTCACTCTCACAGACCATGGGAGACAGGCCAGTCCTCGCTTACAGACAGCCCCCCAACCTGAAGCAAATACTCACCAGCAACTACATACCACAGAACAAAAACACTAAGCCAGGAACCAATCCCTGCAACAAACCCCGTTGCCAACTCTGTCTGCATATCTATTCAAGGGACACCATCACAGGACCTAATCACATCAGCCACACCATCAGGGACGCATTCATCTGCACATCTACCAATGTGATATATGCCATCATGTGCCAGCAATGCCCCTCTGCCATGTACATTAGCCAAACCGGACAGTCTCTACGCAAAAGAATAAATGGACACAAATCGGACATCAAGAATTGTAACATTCAAAAATCAGTAGGAGAGCACTTCAAGCTCCCTGGACACTCAAAAACAGACTTAAAAGTGGCAATTCTTCAACAAAAATACTTCAAAAACAGACTTCAATGAGAAACTGCAGAACTGGAATTAATTTGCAAACTAGACACCATCAAATTAGGCCTGAATAAAGACTGGGCTTATTTAGTCTGCAGAAGAGAAGAGTGAGGGGGGATTTGACAGCAGCCTTCAACTATCTGAAGGGGGGTTCCAAAGAGGATGGAGCTAGGCTGTTCTCAGTGGCGGCAGATGACAGAACAAGGAGTAATGGTCTCAAGTTGCAGTGGGGGAGGTCTAGGTTGGCTATTAGGAAACACTATTTCACTAGGAGGATGGTGAAGCACTGGAATGGGTTACCTAGGGAGGTGGTGGAATCTCCATCCTTAGAGGTTTTTAAGGCCTGGCTTGACAAAGTCTTGGCTGGGATGATTTAGTTGGTGTTGGTCCTGCTTTGAGCAGGGGATTGGACTCCTGAAGTCTCTTCCAACCCTAATATTCTATGATTCTATGACTGGGAGTGGCTGGGTCACTACAAAAAGCAATTTTCCCTCTGTTGATACTCACACCTTCTTGTCAACTGTTGAAAACAGGCCACTTCCACCTTGATTGAATTGGCCTCGTTAGCACTGACCCCCCATTTGGTAAGGCAATTCCCATCTTTTCATGTGCTGTAATATATATATACTGCTTACTGTATTTTTCACTCCATGCATCTGATGAAGTGGGTTTTAGCCCACGAAAGCTTATGCCCAAATACATTTGTTAGTCTCTAAGGTGCCACAAGGATTCCTTGTTGTTTTTACTAAAGCAAATGTTAAAGTTGAAGCATGACCTTGAGTGGCACTGACTTTAGTGGATCTAAAGAATATGTTCAATTGTTTCCTGAATCAGGTCTACAGAGAGCAAAAAACTACATAAACATATATATGGGCCAATCCCTGCCTCTGTGCTTGCATGGGCAGGCCTATTGAAGCCAACAAGACTACTCATACAAGAAGAACAGGATAGTGGAGCAAGGAGCAATCAGCAGCATTGGAAGTTTATAAAGAACTCATTGTATAAACATTGTTCAAAAACGAGATTGTTTTTCTGATCCAATTACAAAATTAGTAAAGGAAGCGAAAACATTAACTGTGATACAGCAGAATTTCAGGAAGCATGATACATTCATTTAAAGTGGGCTTGGCTGGCCATAGGAAAGTGGCTGAAGAAACAAATAATAAGGGCACTGAATGCTGCTTTCCCTACTCTGGGCTACCAAATCACTGTCCTTTTGCACTTTTTTCATGATGCTCATCATATGCGAGTCACTGTGACATGAAAGAAATTCAAGTCTGGATGCAGAATATCTCTGTTATTTTTCAATACTACATTTGGAAGCAGAGGTAAAGTCTCGGTCTGGGAGTTGACAGGTTCAGGAGGTCTGGAAACCTAAAATGTCTCAGCCAGACTCGGGCTCTGAAGATCATCCTGTTTGACCTTGTAGAGCACTCTAGGAATCATAGGGAAAGGGGGTAGGCATACACCTTTGGAAGAGAACATCTGACACTTCCTGTCTTCTATCGTGCACAGGTCCCCTAGAGGGCGGCCTCATCTGAGAAGATGTTCTGAAGAATGGTATTGTTGATTTCCCATTCACAATTGGGGGAGAAGTATCTGCTAAGATTGTGTGCTAAAGTGTTCTACATACTAAGTAAATGTACAGCTGATAGAAAGTTCTATTATCTGTTGCGCTAGTTCCAGTCTGATGGCTTCCTGGCAGAGAGGGAAAAAACCTCTTGTCATCCAAGACTATGGTGGTCATGTTTTCAGTCATTATTTGGATTGTCTATTCCTTGATTTATTGGAGAATGGATCTGAATGCTTTGAACACAGCTCTGAGCTCCAGAAGACTGATGTGCATTTTTGTTTTCATTGCAGTCCATAGGTCTTGTACACCAAGGTCTTCCATGCACATTTCCCAACCCAGAAGTAAAGCATCTGTTACTAAGGTCCTGGATGGGAGAAAGGGGCGGAAGGAGACCCCTCTGCGGGCATTTGCGAGGTCCTTCCATAATTTCAGGTATGACATGAGTAGAGGGAACTCACAGAGAGGCATGTCTAGATGACGTCTGGTGAGTTTGTAAACCTATCTCAACCAACCTCACATGCAATTGAGGTGAATGTGTCACAAAGGTACAGGAGGCCACATGACCAAGAGTGGTGAGACACATCCTTACACAGCCGTATCTGGGTTTGATTCTAACTGTAGAACTGGCGCCAGCAAGTTCTTGAACCTGTCCTGAGGGAGGTAGAGCATGGATCTTGTAGAGTCCAGGATCACACTGATGAATCTGATTCACTGGACTGGGGAAGAAATGAGGCGGTGCCAAGTTCATTTTCTGCACATTCACTTTCATACCCAGGCTCTGGAACAGAGCATGAGGCACACAGACTGAGGACTGATTAAAAGATCTTCCCCGCACCAGCCAGTCATGCAAGT